GTTGAAATTTTACGAAAAGACAAGATATATGAAAAGTCAAGATTGGCTAGTCTAAAATATACAAATTGTCAAATCTTTACTCCTTGACAGTGGTGGAGAAGGTAGAAAACTAATCAAGGAAGGGCAACTTATCAACTTTAGATGTTTATACTATAAACAACGGTTCAATAATACATAATAAATCATTAAGTGCTTAATTCTCTACAGTCAAATTTGTAATCGGTAAAGAAAAAACAATTACGATAATAAATGTTATATGCTCAATGAGTAAGGATAGTAAGCTACGTGAGTTGTAGTGCCTTAGTGCATGATAAGGAAAACTAGAACAAAACGCGCTTTTGTGTGTACTTACTCAATGGAAGTTCCTCGCGCACCGAGTAGTCTTCAATGCTATCATTGCGGCAATTCTGTCACTTGCACTTTCCAGAAACTCGAAGTATGCATAGCGCCAAGACCTCTTGAAGAGAAGGATTGCCAAGAATCCCACGATGCCGAGAGCAAAACCAGGTCCTATACCTGCATAAAACCATGACCAATCAAACTCACCATGATCTTTGTCATCAAGGATAGGATCATTTTCAGCTGGCGACTTGTTCTCGGGGCAGTTCTTTGGGAGTGGCTTGCCACAAAGTCCACTATTTCCTTCATAGATGGATGGATCGGTTAAGGTCTGAAGTTGATTTCCTGATGGTATTTCCCCTGAAAGGCTATTGTGTGACAAATTTAGGAAGCTCAATGAGTTTATTGTTGCTAAGTTGTCAGGTATTGCACCGAAGAATTCATTCATTGATAGATCAAGCGTTTCAAGTCGCTTCAAGTTGCCAATCTTCTCAGAGATCCTTCCAGTCAAATGGTTGTGAGAAAGGTTCAAAGTTTGTAAAGCAGCCAGATCCATTATCCCATCTGGGATCTCACCCACCAAATTATTTGTTGAGAGGCTTATGGATTTAATGAGCACAAGGTTCCCAAAGGAGTACTCAAGTTCATTTCCTCCCTTATAGTTTTGAAGGTTGGTGGTATCGTAGGTTATCGTGAGAATGCTTCCATGTTCACTTGATACCATCATTGAGAAGTTGTTAAAACAATGAGGAATATATCCTGTTAAGTTATTATGTGCCAGGTTCAGCACTTGAAGATTTGAGAGTAGGCAGAGCTTGTCAGAAATACCTCCATAGAAGTTATTTGACTGAAATCTTAGAAACATTAAATTTGATGACATTTCCCCAATCCAAGCTGGTATGGTATCCCTTACTCCATTGTCACCAAGATCGAAAATTACCAAATTGCTCAGATGCTGCATTGATGACGGGAGCCTTCCAATGAATTTATTTCCATTCAAATGCAGAATCTCAAGTGCCCCCAAGTTACCCAGTGAACTTGGAATTTGACCGCACAGATTGTTATTTGCCAAGTTTAGGACCCACAAGAATCGCAAGCCGCCGAAGCACAGAGGAACTTTTCCGGAGAGAAGATTGTTGGATAGATCCAATTCTGATAAACTTTTCAACTTGCACAGGTCTTCTGGGATACTTCCTGTGAAACGATTACCACTGAGTTTGAGGAAATAAGTAGATGCATCCATTTGACCGACATAAGGCGGTGGAATCTCTCCAGTAAGAAAATTTTGTGAGAGATCTAAACTTGAAATATCCGATGGAAATGATTTGACAGATCCCTCCAATTTGTTGGAGCTTAGAGATACAAATCGATAATTATTATTCTTCAGTTCTTTGAACTCCAACGGATTGCCAGTTAGGTTGTTGTTGGAGAGATCTAATGAGCTAATATCATAACAAAGCACTCGAAACCAACTGGGTATGGCATCTGAAATACCCGCATTGCTCATGTCTAACTCTTCAAACTTCTGCGTCCAAAGCCAACCTGGAAACTGGGGGCCTACTTTGATGGATGCCATTTCAAGTTGTTGGAGTTGAAAAGGAGGCACCCATGTGGAGCTCAAATTCAGAGTGAGGAAGCTATGAGATAGGAACAATGACTTTAGCTCTCCAAGTTTCCCAAGATGGTCTTCAGATAATACACCAGTTAATGAAGTGTAACTAATGTCCAATACTTGTAGCTTTGTTAGCTGCCCAAGACTGACAGGTATGAAACCATATAAGTTAAATCCGAACAAAGATAGTGCAGCTAGTCTTGAAAGCTGGCCTATTTCACTTGGTATTGACAATTGCAAGTCATTACTACTCAGATCCAAATAAGTAAGATTGCTCAAGTTGCAAAGTGATTTGAAGAATGAAACATCAAAGCGGTTTCCCCATAGATCGAGGCGCAGTAGAGAGGTCATTTGCTCAAATAAGCCATGAATTGGATTAGAAAAATTATTATCACCAAGACGAAGATCAAGGAGGCCTGTGAGATTACCAAGCCAAGGAGGGATCATGTGGTTGCTGAAATTATTTTCACCAAGGTCAAGGGAAGAAAGAGATGTGAAATTGGCTGGTGAAAGATGAGGATGGATAACAAGATGACAACCAAACAAGTCTAGTGTTGTTAGTGAAGGAAGCATGCTAATTGCCCGTAATCCATCTTGAGCAGCACTAAGATTCACCAAGGATAGGACTAGGACTTCTAGAGAAGAGAGCCTAACAACCCACTCGAGATCCTTAATCGTTGATCCACTTGATGATAATCCAATATCTAAATACCGTAAATGCGAGAGATTTCCCAAATGGTGAGGAATTTCACCATCAAATTTTGCATTGGAGAGATTGAGGTATCTCAAGTTTTCCAACAATCCAAGGAATGTGGGAACTTGGAATGTTGAAAAATTATTCACACTCAAATCCAAGTATCTCAAATTGGTCAAATTGACCAAAAATGGACTTAATTGGCCTCCCAAGCAATTTGTGCAGTGAGAATCCTCATCAGAATAGAGTGGCACCGTATTGCGCAAATCAAGTTTCAAAACACTACCAGTGATTTTGTGACAACTAACTCCTTTCCATGAACAACAACCTTCTCCAATCCAAGATGACAGACGATTTGATTCATCTTTCAATCCATGTTTGAGTTGAAGAAGGGCACGCCGTTCACTTTCAATACAAGTGGCATTTGAATGATGATAAGCTTGTTTGCTGCTACCAAATGTGAATTGGCTGGTGATAGGAATAGAACTGAATAAGAAGAGTAGTAGTAAAGATGAAGGAGTACAAAGAAGATGATGCTCCATTGGATTTCTTTGGTATCATTTGTTTATTTGATATGGGAAGCCCAGATGGCCGGGTGGCCTTATTTATACACTTACAATAAGCATCACTTCAATGTTCTGTGTTTGTAGGAAGTAGGATGGAACTATACAAAGGTGATAAAATGACGACGACTTCAAGTCATCGTGGGAAAAGAAAAAATTTGCGGACGCGGGCGAGGGGAAAGACAGCGTTGAAAATCTTGCGTGATTGTGGGAAAAATCATTGGTGACGTACAAATGGAAATATTGATTGACTTTTATTTGGGTTGTAATTTGATTTGGATACATACGTTACCATAATATCATCAAATAATATCATCTAATAAACAAAAAACATTTAGTGTTCGACTTTCTCCCTTTTTTTTGTTTTTTGGGTAAGCAATATCCAAATCTTGATGGTTTGTGATGTATAAGACAAGGAACTGAACCATTTTCTTTTATGACAATTACAACCATCCAGACATGAGGGACAGAATTAGTCTTTTGGGAAGAATTGATAGTCATATTAGTCACAGCTGTATGCATGACTGAATGGCAATTATCCCTTAAATAAATAAAGTCCATAACTTCGCTTATATGTTATATGGTTTAGTTTCTAAATTATTTTCACACCTCCCTGAGTTTTTGTCCATTTGAATTAGATGATTGGGAAATATCTACCAATGGAGAAAGAGAAAATACAGCATTTGGTAATATCTGAATTACGACATCTACAACATGTACAACCATGTTCCCCCCCCCCCCCCCCCAAAAAAAAAAAAAACCATGTATAACCATCACCAGTGGAGTTGCACTATTTATTCCGTTGTAATATTCCCATTGGTGGCTTAACACTAGAGACATTAGTGGAGTAATACTAAAAAAAAAAAAAAATGTCCCATTGGGTTTTTTTCTTGGTGCATATATGGCTTTGTCTGCTCACATTGGAAGTAATCTTCTTAAACTAACTTTTCGTAACATAAAATTAATTAAAGAACAATCTATTAGAAAATAAAAAAATTTAAAATTTTCCTATGCATACTCTTATGATTATTTATACAACAATATAATATGGTTGTTCATTAATTATTATAACAAATAAGACAATCAGATAGAACTAGAAAAAAAAAAAATCAAATCCAACCCTGCTTGTCCCACTCCAGCATATGCCTATTAAACAATGACAAAAAAGATGAAACCAGGTCTCAGTAACTTATATTACCGACAAACTTGCAGTTCGGTAGGCCGTCACCTGTCTCCAAAATATTGGACGGGTAAAACCAACTCCTTCAAGGAGATAATATTAAATATTACTGGAATTGTTTATAGCTTACTGTAAGTCATATAAGGTGCAGTATTGGAGAAGGATTAGATTGGATAGTAAACTCAAAAAGATTGTAAATAGATTTTGAATTTAAAACTTTTTATTTATAAAAAAAAATTAAAAAGCAATATATATATAAATTAATTTTTCTATATTGACAGTGTATACATTATCACTTTACAATAACTTATAATTATGAAAATTTTGAATTTGAAATCCAACTTTTATATATCACTACAACAAAAATGGCTTTTCCTGACACGCCTAAAAGGACACTTGCTGGTTTTTGTTATTATAGCTATTCTATCATGACACTTATTATCAATTTAATAATATATACTTTAATTTTGTTTTATTTTATCTGATATAAAAATAATAATGTGTCTTTAGATTCCCTATCATGACACTTGAAAAAATGTGAGATACACCAAAAAAATTAAAACATAAAATGATGTTGTTTGATTTTGGCGGAAGATTCCTTGCCAAAACACTTAGTGAAATTTCAAAACTTTTATTTTGCAAGCCAGCGAAATTTTGGTTCCTCTCATCTCTCTCACAAACTCTCTCTCTCGGCAAACTATCCCTCAAAACTCCCCCATTTTGGTTCTTCCGTCTTCGCCGCCGCCCCACTCCCCTATTTTCAGTTGCTAACTCGGCCGCTTCCCTACCCTGTTCGGTCAACCACGACCCCTGCACCAATAAGCCTTCGCTCTCTTTGCTAGCACAAAAAGAATAAGAAAATAGATACTCGTGCTCTTTCCTTTTTCTTCGTTCCTCTGAAACCCATCCCCATGCTTCTCCTTACTGACTAGATATTCAGGTTGAGCGTGCCGAGGAGTAGAGTAGGCGAAGGTTGCCGCTATCATCTCACTGGAGTCCAGCCACTACAGCGGAAATCATCACTGTAAAGTTTCCCACACTCTTGCACTTTTTTCCCCCTTAATTGTATTGTTTTCTTCTTTGTCTGCAATCATGTCGGTTATGCTTTACTTTCATCTTGTTAATCGATTTTAAGTGGCTGGAATTGATCATAGGTTTGAGTAGAGCTTTAGATTTAAAATCAAGCTCAGGCCGTATAAGGAATTGATGAAAAAGAAATTTCAAAACTTTTCATGCTCACTACCTATTTGTCGGAAGGTTCGAATGAAGAAAGAAGAAAATTTATGCATTCATGCCAGTCGACCTTTTCCGGCACAGCCAGGCATCGTTCCTCATTATCCAGTGTAGAACCCAATTCCGGTGTCTTTATCACTTGTCAGGATTCAAAGGATAGCTCTGTTTTTTTTTTTAAATAATAATTATTATTTTGGGCTCCTTTATAAGTGGTAGTGTTCCCTAAACGAGTTTGGACAGAGTCTATGTCGTTTCTCTTTTTTGCTATAATGTGACCGCCAACATGAGCAAGGTTGGGGAGAGGAGGGACATCGTACTAAAGGCATACAATTTAAAAGATAGATTCAACAATCATTAAAATTGTCCCCAAAAAAGAAGTTATTAATTCTGGACTTTGACACTCTATTGCCTGCTGATACTGCCATAGTCATAATTTTTTATTTTCATCACAATTTCAAATTAGAATAGCTAAAATATCCTTCATCAGGCAAAAACAAGCGGTGAGTGCTAATGAGAAACCATGGTTCTATCTAACGAGTCACTAGACCAGAATTTATTCGCGTCTCAACATGAAGATAAACTTGTAGCGCTATAAATACTAGCTAATTCCAAAGATCATCGAAACTGCAGTGCCCATACCATACTATGCTTTACAATCAGATTGGCAGCTGGAATGGAGTGGATTATTATCAGCGCATGCCAGGCAGGCCTTATCCTAACTTCTACCTAAAATTCTGGCTCCCAATTTACGGCAGCGTGGTAGTGTGTCATGTTCTGTGGTTGGCCAGTTAGTGTGTCACTGTGTGTTTCGACTTTATTTAGGGGCGTGTCCTAATCTCATAAATAAATGAGATACGCAATGGATATATATATATATATACACACACACACACAATGGATCATGGATGACAATTTGATAATGCCGTGCTACCTTCAACTTTTTCGAGGGAATTATTATTTTTTTTGTTCAGATTTTTTCTATTGAGAAATTTATCACTTGTATTTTTCCCTTTTACTAAGCAAGCAACTCATTACTCGTGCTAAAGAAATTATTATTGTGATGTTGTAAGCTCCTATCTAACTTAACTACGAAATATTTTTATCCAAACACAATCAAGTAGTCTTTCCGTTTAATAGCAGACTTTATTTCCTCTAAATCTTGCAGTAGAAAAAAATAACATCTACGTGGGGGCAGTATGCTCTGCTTGCTTGTCATCATATACCCAAGTAATTATGTTACTCAGTACATTGCTTAAGAAACGTATTGAAATGTAAAAACTTCGTTGTCACTTAATTAGTGTACATTTTCTGTAACTATGATAATACTTTGTGCTGAAAGATAAATTTTGTGTGTTTATACATGAGGCAGCAGGTCCATTGAATACAACTTGGGACTCCAGAACTTTGAAAGAAGACATGGAAGATATGTGGATTCATCCCAATGTTAATAAGGAATGGATGAAGTCAGGAGAGAAAAAGGGAAAAGTTCAATTTTCTCATGACACAGAGAGGAGGCCTTATCTTTCCCATGTGGAACTAAGGGTGAGATATTGTTTATACAATACATATTTAATGACTGACTATTGAATGTTAGCCTTTTTCTTTAATTTGATCTCTCTTTGGCAAGTGAAGGGTGAGTTTGCTGTACTTACACATTTCTGATTCTGAAATGATTCCCTTTGGATTTAGCTGAGTTGATTACACTATGTGAACCATAGGTTGGCATGATTTAGTTGTGTGACTGCCATGTTACTGTACAATCTACTTTCAGAGTACGTTGCATTAGTGTGAGATTGGTCTGTGAGTTTATGCATTTTATAGAGTGTTTCATCTCAGCCCAATACTCGTTTGCAGCTGTTGTTGATTAGACCAAGTTGTGTTAAACTTCTCAGATTGTAGTGATAAACTTTTTGATTGTCAGGCTCCAGGAATGGTTCAATGATGAGGGAACTCCAAATTCCGCTACTAGGAAGTCACCATCTTGGAATTGATGATACCAAAAATATTGCAAGAGTGGTACAACACATGCTTATAGATGGTGCTCTTTTGCAAATTACTGCAAGGAGATTACGTGGTTCTCCTGAAAAAGTTGAGTTTCTATTTGAAAATGGTATCTAGTTGTCACTCTGCATCTCTTTACATTCACCTTGTTATGATCTTCATTTCAGACTAATTTCTTTGTGCTAATTGCATATATATTCTTCATGAGCTTTTCTTCTCCAACTTGAGAAATGGTCCATCAGTTTCTCAGAAAGTCGAAAGCCCTCTCAAAACTATATGCTTTGATTTTTTCTGAATTTTTATTTGGGGATGTTTAAAAATGAAAGGTAAGAGAATTTGAATGGGGAAGAATACAATTTACAGGGCAAATTTATGCAATAATTTTGCGTGTAACATATAAATGATGTTTAGGAGAATTAACTTTGTTATAGTCAGCAAATTGCTGGATTTCTCCAAATACAAAAATTTACAGTATTTGATATGTTTACTTACGATATAGTCTAGATGTGCCTCGGTGCTTCCTCCAAAGTTGCATGTTTAGACCAATTTGCTTCTGCTTTATGATTGAAGTGGACATTTCTTTGCATTTAGAAGCTACATTGCTTTAGATGCATCTCAGTATGCTGTGCATTGACTAACTTGTCGCATTCACTGTTTGGATAGGTGGGAGTATATTGGCGTCACTTGGTTCCTTTCAGCAAATGTGGTTTTCAAAATCTGAGTAAGCTTTTACATCCACTCTACCTTTCAATATTCAACTTTTCTCCTTTTTTTCTCCCCATTTTCAGTCTGTTTTATCTCTTGATTAACAGGTTTGAGGAACATGGAGCTTCAAATGTTCAAACAAAATGCCCGTAAAGTACTTTACTGGTGCAGACAATTATCACATTAGACAGAAATTCATGGAGCTGACTTCACTTTGATTAGTTCGCTGACGGTATGGGTTGCTCGGTTTTAATATCCTGCTTTATAGGCGCCCAAACAATGTACTATATATATTTACTGTACCTCTCACGAATCGTTGCTAATGTTGTACAATTACGTTACCTGACTTTTAGTTCAACAAATTATACTTGTTAGGGAATCTTTCAAGTTTGTACTTGTTACTGACTTTTAGTTCAACAAATTATATTTGAACATTGACTTTTACTTTTAGATTACTATATGCATTCTGTTCTTTGGGATAATTTTACAAGTTCTTTGGGTTTTTTGATTGACGGAATGTATAGCTGGGAGCACTACCCGCAGGTTGCTTCTATATCAAAAAAAAAAAAAAACTCCTGACAGTTAAAAGTGTCAGCATAACTCCGTTAAAAAAACTCCTACTTATTACTAACTATAGCTATCCTGACACTTTCGATTATCAAGAAAAGGAATTTTCGTTGGCAGATGAGATGTTATAATAGCATAGTTTTCCTTACACATTTGAATACTACATACCTATCCCTACATTGGAAGGGACGACACTCGTCCGAGGTGTGAGGAAAGGTAAAATGTCAAGTTAGATTATCTATACTGACACCTTTAAATGCCGTTAAAGGTCATTTTTGTTGTAGTGTATGTATCATAAATTTAATGATAATAATATATACACTGTCAGTGTGAATAAAATTTATTATATATATATATATGTATATATACGATGACTTGGAAGTCTTTGTGGAGCACGATAGCTTCAGTGACCCTAAATGAGACATCCATCACCATCTAAATTGGTATTGGCAGTTGAAGCTGTTAGAAAAACTGTAGTAAAAAAAAACTATACTAGACAAATACAGAGACTTTGAGGCGTGAAAGAACTTTCTTTTGGAACCAGAAAAATTCTGTGAATTCTTCTCACTTAAAGCATTCACTTTGACATCAGATTCTATTTGCTTCTTTTGAAGATTTCTGGTATCTTCTTCAATACGCAAATGTTTCAAAATCTGATCCATAGTGAATGATTCAGTAGTATGGAGCAACTTTTTCTTATAGTCATTCCAACTAGTTGGAAGTTTGGCTATAATTGCTCCAACTTGCAAGGATTCAAATATCTCCACTTTCAGATCATGTAACTTAGACACAATCACTTGGAGATCATGAATCTGATCCATAAGAGAAGAATTCTCAGTGATACGAAAATCAAAATATTGCATAATCAGAAATTTGTCCGCACCTTGTTTCATCGTATTATACTTGTATTCCAGCGCATTCCAGATTTCCTTTGGCGACTTGACTGCAGTATACAGATCATACAAGCGGTCAGAAAGAGTGTTCATGATGTGTCCTCTGCACAGCAACTCGTCCTCTGCGCGTTTTCTGTGTCTTATCCTTCCAACGGGAGAAGTTAGTGCCGTCGAATCTGTCCAACTTCACGAAGTCCTGATTCATCACTTTGAACGCAGATTCAGAATTTGACTCCATTGTTGAGAATAACACCTTAAGATTGTTATTTGCCTCTATTAGACAAATTACCTCTAGGGTACAACAAAGTCTAGAACTATCAAATGAAATGTAACCGCTAACCGCCATCAACTACCTCTGATTGACACCCTATCAGAAAGCCCCAAGGTGCCCCAATTGTCAAGATTTTATATATCTTGAAATAAGTTTCCCACCAAACTTTCCCTCCAAACTAATATCTTGGAACAAGTTTGTAAAGGAATAGGACAATGACTCATATATAGGCAACATGCACTTTATCTTCTTTCAATGTGGGACAATGGATTTCAACATATTCATTACAAACTATTACGAACAGAAGCACCGAACGATGTAAAATCATATATGATAGATACAACTATTAAAACAAAAAATGTAGATAGCACGATAACAACATGAGAAAACATAATAAATTTTATCACCCATTCAATCTATCTTTCTAACTTTGAACTAACTCGTTAGCCACCATTATATATTAACTGTACTATGCGATCACTATTACGTATGATTACATAGAATCTAAGTCCCCTAAGCAGTAGTATAGATTAGTTGGATGTTTAATATTATATGATGCCATTATTTGGCAAGAAATAATTGCGAGTATTGTTGGAATAAGCAATCCAAGAATCAGTCAAGCAAAATAGATTCAATTGCTATTCTTGTGGTGTGCTAACAAATGGTATTTAGTTTATTTTTCTGAGGAATATATAAGGTAACTTTTCTAATTTGTTTAAAATAAGTCTAGAATTTGTGTCACAGCCAACTCCTTTCATGTGTCATGAGCAACAATTCACCATGATTGGTGATTTGATTTATTTATCAAACTTTCTCTCAATTGAAGAAGAGCTTATCATTCACTTTCAGTATAAATGACACTTGAATAATAAACTTTTTCAATTAATTCAATGGAATTTCCAAGAACTATGGTTACAAATGTTTGTCAAAAATTGCTGATAAGACAATAACGGCTTAAAGTCCTCATGAAATGTCTCTTTGAGTGATGTATTCCTTTCCTTCATCCATTTGTACCAGAATTATTGGCAAGGTTGGTTTGGTCCACCTCCAAGAACTAGTCAAATATTGATAACTCACAAAATATGATCCACATACTCTATTAAGCAGATAATCTAGCAATTTTCTTCATAGAAGTGGACGAGTATACCCAAAAAAAAAAAAAAATGGAACTTTGTTTCATGAAAACTCTCTACAATATTTACATGGATCTATAGTTCTTTCATTGGTAAAAACCTCGTTTAATACATTAAACGACACTTGATAAACTCTTTTTTTTCACTTGCCTTTTTTGTAAGAAAAACATTTTGGTGGTTTTTAATCTGTAAAAAGCTTGAAGCTAAAAGAAGAAAAATGGTATATCATGAATAGAGGTGGCAAAAAAGCCCAAACCCCAACAACCCATCCAACCCGCCCATTAATTTTAGAGGATGGGTTGGATTAATTGGGTTATGAATCGTGAATTTCAAATGCACGTTCAAATTTAGGAGAAGCAAAAAAATTCCTAAATAAATTGCTTTCATGATCTTGACGTGCGTCAAATTGGGTAGAAACTTCGTCGACGTGCTGAGTCTGGCATCTACAAGTCCACCCGTCAATTAAAGTCATGACCGACCACAGAAATCCTTATTTCCTTTTGGACAAAGTCGTTGGGGACATATTTTGTATTGAGTTAACGGAAGTTTTAATTCCCTATCAGTTGGTTGTGAAATTGATTTGTCTATTTACGTTACCACATAAATTGCTTTTGATTCTTTCTTTTGCGATCTAAATTAATTTTTTAAAAGAATGTTTGACAGGAAATTACCAAACCAATTGAAAATTTGTCAAATATCCTAAATTAGATGGGTTGAGGTTAAAGAAGTAAGCAAGTAAACTAGTTTTCCATAGAATAACAAAATGTAAAGCATGAGGAACTAAATTAATGTTGCTTTCATGAGCATAGTTTTATTTGGATAAGAATGGACAATCAAATAGCCTTCAAGATTTTATAATATTTTTAACAGCGTTAAAATATTAGAACTCCGTCTCTAAAATTTTAGGAATTTCTAAGCTTTAACAAAGTAACGGCAAGATACAACAGTTCTACTTTCTCTTCGTCTAATTGTCTAGCCCTATTGCAAAAACAACACAAAGGGGCCATATGTCTAAAGTTCGGCATTCTTTCAACATCTTTTTTTTTTTGCATTTTCTTTTCCTTTTTTTTTTTTTGTCTTTTTCTCTCTCTTATATCACAAAGGGGTGGCATTTGTACTCCGGACTGGCCCTCAAACTCATTTGGGACCTCAGCAGGAGGTTTTTTTTTTTCTTCATCGATCGATACTTGTCTATTCCATACGTATTCTTAATTCTATTTTAACTTATACTAAAGAGGATGACCCAACTGTACCATTGAGGAGCCTCAGCAAGAGATTGGCTTTCAATATTTTGGTATACCAACTGTGGAGAGCAAGGAATTTGGCTATATTTCAGCCTAGGCATATCTCCATAGGAGAAAGAGCCATTTTTGCTTGAACTCGTGATTGTTGTGTACTTAAATAGTGGTTGGTTGGATTTAACTGGAATTTACACATTCCTGTATATAAGCTCCATTTACATGGTCAATAAAAGTATATTTTGGCTATGAGATTATATATGTGAGCCACATTTTGCGTTAAAGGCTATAAGAAAATTTTCTTGCTTAAGATCATAGCGATTGAATGAAGGACCAAGGAAAGGTTGAATTGATACATGAACGATCAAAGAGGTTATTGGTATATTTTGCAGTTTACTTTTGAGGTGGAAGTATTGTATTTTTAGCATCTGTTAGGACCATGGCTCTGTATCTAAGTATGACCAGTCAAAAGTTGCCGCCAACCTATCCAACTGGAGTCTGGGAATGGACCAAAGTCTACTGACAAGTAGCAACTTTTATGACAAAATGCTTCATAAGAGACAGCTAATTTCAAAGGGTCAAAAAGAAAGTAATACTACAAGACAATTCTGAATTAATCATACCTAGAAGGGTCGGCACTATTGATGATTAAAATAATTATAATAATAAATAAAAACAAGTCTGATTTGGTATGCTAGTATTATTTTTGCTGCATTGTCATTTTCAATCTCTATGATTTCAAAAATAGACAACAACCCAAACGGGTATTTTTTTATACAGTAATTATACTTTTGCAAACGTTGAATTGCTCTACTGGTGATCAACATGATATCAACAAGCGGAGATTGTTTGTATTTTATTGGATTTATTGTACCAATCAAACTTTTGTTGGATACTTCTTGTAACATTTTTCATCACCATTTGTTTGTCCTTGAAAAATTGTTTCTATAAGCACATTGTATGTCTTCTGGATGAATATTACTAATTTGACATGATATAATTTTCAACTTGCCTCTGAATTTGTAAACATTAAAATTTCTAGAGCTGCAATTGAAGGTTCTTAGGATAGTACTTCCGACATTTTAAATCACTTGTGAAAGTATGACATAAAATGATTGTACTTTTCTAAGTTACTAGTACTGTAATAGTGAGTATACGCATATTTGTTTAGTCAATTTTTGGATTTTTTCTTTTTAAGAATGAATATTCTCCTATATTAGACTAAGAAATTGAAGAATTAGTGAATCTAGAAAATTTAAGAAAAATATGACACCTATATATATATAAATATATATAAGTGTGTGTTTGTGTGTGTGTTTCTATTGTTGTTTATCTCTTTGCTCCTTTGAATCTAATTTGAAAATCTTAGCATCTAGTGCATCTTTTGACCATTTCAACCTGATAGAGTTTTTCTTAAATGATAAAACACGGATACATAAAACATATAGGTTTCAAGGAGATGGGAGTTATGTCCATTGTTTTAGCTCTTCAAATTCCTGATATTGTATTTTGCATTATTTGAATTCTTATTTTGCTCCATATACCAGATTACACCTCTTTTGTACAAGTACAAATGAGTTGTTTGCAGTTCTTGATGATACGGTTTTATAAATGGATAAAATGGTTTGGTGGTTAATAATTTATATTAATGGATTATATATATATGTGTGTGTGTATATATATATATATATCTCTTGTTGCTTTGATGCATATTATATACACATGTTGCTACTGATATGAACTTCATTAGTTACCAAAATAGCACACAAGGTAGTTTTTTGACAGGTTGTCGAGCCTGTGCAATAATAAATACCTGCTCAAATAAAATATAATTTCTGTAGATAGTGATAAGTATGGTCGAATCCACAGGAACAAAGGATATTTGTCTTTTTTGAAATTCAAACTAACAAAGGAGGGTTTTTTTTTTTATAAAAATGGTAATAATTAAATGGTTCGAATAAAAATAAATAACCAACTAAAAATTAAATGACAAATTATTAAAACCAAATTAATAATAACTAAGCTCTAACCAAGAAATAATTTCGGCAATAATTCACCTAATTGATCATCGATGCAAAGGTAGTTCCAATTATTAACTAATAAATAAGTTATAACTGCCAAACAAGCGATGATAGTTAGCTCCTCCTTACTGTATCGGTGATTAAGGTACACCCATTAATCACCGTCCTAATCAAGAAATAATCCTAGGTACGCCAGCAAGATTTAATTCTCCAATTGCCTTATGTATTAGAGGAGTCCTATTCTAACCAAATAACATGCTATCAGGGTTATTTTAGATTAGCCCGCGTATTTCCCTGACACAAACTCAATCATGCCAGTTGTCACTAGGGGTGGAGCTGAACCAAGTAGCTCGGCTCGAGCTCGCGAGCTACTTGGTTAGCAGCTTGAGATCGAGCTCGGTTGACCAAACTCGATCTCGAGCTCGAACTGCTCGTTAGAGTTATCGAGTCGAGTTCGATCTTAGATATATGATACTCGAGAGCTCGACGAGCTCTATCGAGTATCGTATAAAAAATTTAAAAAAATTATCTATTAAATTACTAATATAGGTAAACAATTTATGAAATTTACAATGAACCATTCTACCACCTTTATTTATTTGTGTGCACAAAGTAGGGATTTCATAAATCATTATTTGTGTGGACAATGAAGGAAAGCACAGATTTTTTTGCACAGGTTTTCGAGCTCATTTTACGAGCTTAGCTCGAGTACTCGAGCTCGAATTTTATACGAGTTCGAGCTCGAGTTTTTTTTTAACTACATCGAGTCGAGTTCGAATCTGAAGTTTGAGGCTTATTCGAGCTCGAGTAGTGCTCATAACCTTCGAGCTCGAGCTCGAGTATGGTACTACTCGAGCTCGACTCGACTCGACAGCACAACTAGTTGTCACTATTTTAGGACACTTAAACAATTATAGATTTAACGCTCCAATTGACATTAGGTTGTCAAATTAATTCAACGTCCGGACTCAGGATATTCAATTAACAAAACAACCATAAGTACTGTAATTAAAGAATATGCAAATACTAGTAAATAAGAGAAATAAATAAAATTAGTTTAATCTCACAATTTTTTAATAAACCAAATATTCCATTGTTTCTTGACTAGAAGAAGGGATTTAGTTCATCCCGGTTGAAGCAATTTCATACAAAATGGCAGAATTAATTGTCGAAGGCATTCTTCCTCAAATTGAGATAATGAAACCCGATATCATAAGAGCAAGAATAAGACGAAAGTACTAAGAGAAGTAGTCAAGGCTGTCTGCCCACTTTCTTTTCCTATCTAAATTTGTCCAACCCTATACGGTTACTCCAAAGAACAATAGGGAAAGAATCCTACTAGGATCCCACTTCTGCCCCACTTTGACCAATAGATAAGGAAAACCAAATTCACTTAGTCTCCGGTTTCCTATTACTACTCAAACTCCTCTGCTGACTACCATCAAAATTAATTTGACTAAGCCGAAGGTGTACAACTTGATAGTTTTGGCATGGTTTGTGACCCACATTGCAATGCTAGACGTCCCGAAGCCAATATAGTGAGGAATTTGCGTGAGAATCCTCAGTTTTTAAAGCACAATTTCCCCAAATTAATTGCCTTATTCTAGGATTTAAATCATATATTATATGCCATTACATTAGCTTTTCTAGGTGTTACAATAATTTTCATGCATTACACTTCATTCCTTTTTACTTGTAGTAAAACATTTTTTCTTGAGTTGATTTTAATTATACACCACTTTCATTTTACCAAGTGTCTTCATATTAGTGGTAGAGATCTTACATGTAGGATTATAGGTGCTAGTTAAGTATTGGTACATTTGGGAAGGTTAGTTAGAGGTGTTAAAGAATTATTGGTGCATTTGGAAAGGTTAGTATACCATTAGTCAAGATTAAGAAAAAATTGGACAAGTAAGTGGACATGTGGCAAAACCCTAGCCAAGTATCTTGTTGGACTCAAGATTAGAAAATTATTTAAACTAGCCAAGGCCTTTTTTTTTTCTTGTGTTGGCCGAATTCCTTAGCTTCAAGAGAGAGAGAGAGTGAGCTCCATAAACTTGCTTTCTTACCCTAGCAAATCAAGAACAACAATCAAAAGAGAAAGATTTGAGTTAGTGAGAGAGTTCCTACAACTCTTAGTGCTTGATCCAAGCTTGAAGACTTACTTTGGTGGAGTGATTTTGGTGGTTCAAGCCCATCATAAGAGAGGTATATGTTCTTTAAATCTTGGTTTTTGATGATAGATCATGCACTTGAAGTGTTAATAGCAAAGATACAAGTTGTTTGGTTGAAAGTGTGAGGTTAGTTTCTTGAATTAAACAAGTAGTAGTTAGGTTTCTTAGTATGCACACCAAGTGTTTGATGAAATGTTTGAATCTTGTTCATGTTTGTTTATGAGGTATTATTATGTTTTAAATCTCTTTTGAGTTGGATCTATCACTTGATATGATGATTTGGGTGAAAAACATGTAAGGATGAAGGATTGAACATATGTTGAAAAGTGTGGGCTGGTTGCTTTGTCTTGGCTGGCCGGTTCTTGTAGGAGGGATTTTCCCTCAATCTTGTTGTTAAATTATGTCCTAATCAAGCCTAATAAACTAGGTTAACTATTGGTTAAGCCTATGAGCAAGTTGGAATGGAATTGAAGCAAGTAAAGTGGTGCTTTGAACCATTAGTAGACTGTTTTAGGACTCTTGTAGTTATGAGATCATTATGGCTACCTTAAATCATGTTGTATGTTATATTGTGACTCCATTGATTCTAAGTGACTTGAATCCTTGTATATGATCACTTGAGGAGTGAATTGGGTGAATTTAGATCAAAATTAATGAAGTTAGCCCTAGAACTAGAGTAGTTTGGTATAAGATTAATGCTGATCCAGGGTTGGAAAAACAGCCACCTTGTCTGAGTTACTGTTGTTGATAGGAGACGAACCACAGTGTGAGCTTGGTACCGTTGGAAAGCCCTTTGAGTCTAGTTTCCAACGCCACTAACGGCACCTAATTTTGACTTTTCTACAGTGAGTTATGACCATTTTCCTAAGACTGCCAGGGCAAGACTGTGCAACCCGAGAAGAAACCCTTAAGCCCGATTGGAACTTTTCTTTTGCCGAACTTTCATGCATCTACTAAACTTGTTTTCTCATGAAATTTTACCATGGTTTGGACCTTGTTTGCATGATGGATTAAGTAGCTTAGACTACTCACTTGGTCTCTTATTGAGCCTAACCTAGTGGGGCATGAATCTAATTGTTAACGATTTCACTCGTTGCCCTAGGTTTGGGAAACGAAGGTGACCGTAACTAAGACGTTTGACATCGATCGCTACTTTTGATTGACAGGTGAGCGTTCCACTACCTGCTACCTGCTACCTGCTTATGTGAAATATCTGAATACCTGATTTACGACTGTTTGAGCCAAACCCTAATTTGATAAAAATGGAGGCGAGTGTGTACTTTATCGCGCTCGTCCTCCTTCACTTCCACTGAGACTCTGTATACTGTTATTGTGAAATGTGAATTCTCTATATGTGACTGTACTTGAGTTGTTTGGGTGATATCCCATCAACTACTACTACTGTTTGGGTACCCAACCTCATAGGTGAGTCAGTTCTATCGAGCCAGTCAGGGCTTGGTCGAGAAGGCCGATAAATCTTGAGGACTGTTTACTGTTCACTGAAACCGGTATAATCGAGTATTACCTAACTACTGTTTATGGAGTGCGGGCCCGGTGGGGGGTTGATTGGTGGACGGACGTAGATGAAAGCGGTGTTCTACGGACTTAATATTCTGTATATACAAGTGTTGACGGAGTGTCAACGAAGACATTTATGATCAAGCTCAAGGGAATTTTGGCTTTTGAAAGCCACCCGTATCCTTGAATTGAATTGTGGTTAATTGTTATTGTATCATACGGTATTTACTTGATTATTCTATGCCTTAATTTGGCTATGTGTTTACTTGCTTTACTTGGAACCTCACTGAGCTTTAGCTCACCCTACTCCCTTTGTTTTCCTTAACAGATTGGGGATGGACTAACGGTCGAGAGCTTTCTTAGCTTTGTTTTGCTTGAACTTGTAACCTTTTGTTAAGATGACTTTACCTTTTTCTTTTGTAAGCTTGAATTTATAAGTTTGACTTGTGTTATGTAATTGTAGTATGGAATAGTAAGTGTGACTTTTAGCTTGCCGTATTAAGTTTGGAAAGTTGATTGACGGTTATATGTTATTAGGGTTGTACGATTTAATTTGAAGTTATTTTCCCCAGTTATTTTGAGTTGCTAGTTCTTTGATCGACTGAGCCCCGGCGAGAGTTGGGCAGGCAGTCCGCTAATACCCTAGGGTTCGCCCTAGGGAGAGGTGGGGCTGTCACAATTTGCACCTTTTATAATATTTTGTTCCAACTCCCTACAATCAATACAAATTTCCAAAAGTGAGTAGAATCTGTCAATTAATACATATTTAGTAAGATAATAGGAGGGAATTAATTATAAAATAAATGACAAAATTTTGACCTATCAATACCTCCCCATCTAGACCATGCTTGTTTTCAAGCATGATAATAGCAAACCGACACCAATTCTCGACTATGGTTATCACTCAATTATTAAGAAAATAGCAGTTAAAGTGGTGCCAAATTCACAGAAGTGAAAACGCGACCCTTGAATACGCGACCTAAGGTCACGTATTCTAGTTTTTCTGTTGCAACTTGCTCTGCAACTTGTTCTGCATTCACACAACCTTTCCATCTCATCTACAACTCAGAATTTCAGTTGTATTTGACCAAGAAGAGTGCGAAAATTTGGAGAACAGCTCTTGCTGAGTTCAAAAGCCAACTTTGCCAACCAAGAAACAACTCACCTTGAGCTTGAATTCTCTATAAATAGTAGCCTTTGAGGAACGTTTTCAAAATTTTGGAAAGCTAGAGAAACTTCACAAAAATGTAGTTTTCACTAGAATTTTAATTCATTAGTTAGAATAGTATAGTATAATTAGTGTAGTTTTTTCTTCTTATATTTGTAGTTAGATTTGGATGAAAATTAAGAAGCAAGATCGAGAGGTTGATCTCATGTGACAAGGGTGACATCCCTTCTACTACTTTTTCTCTTGTATTAGATTTCATGTTTAGTTATAATACAAGTTTGGCTTTGTTTTTCTTCATATTTAGTTAAAATTTATGCCTAAAGTTATGGATGAACTTGCTATATCTTGTTCGTGATATTTACATGATTATTTGATGATATTATTTTGAACAAGTTATTTATCGCTTTTGCTTATCTAATCATGGCTAACTGGACATTAATTGAGATAATCTTAAAGTGTTAAGTTTGCAATGAAAATTAGAATTTAACACTAGTTCAAGGAAGTGATAAACCTAGAGAGTACACTCACGAGAGTAGAGGTGTATCTTTGTGGCTTTAATAGTTTGTTCATGTAATTTCATAAAAGAAATGAGCTTGTAGTTGATTCATAACCACGAGAGTAGGTATGGTTTAGTTACAAGTATAATTGATTCACTACGATGGTAGGTTTCACATACATTAGGAAATTACGCCATAACTAACCAAAATAATAGTATTCACTTAATCGGTAATGTCATTTGCAAGAGTAGTAAGGAATTCCATACCTCTAGAAGTTTTTTATTATATTTTTATTACTTTTATAATGTAGATGTAATATTTTGCACTTGCAATAGTCTAAATAATAAAGGAGTTTGAAAATTATCGGTAATTAAAAATCTTCCCTGTGAGATGGACACCTAATACCCCTATACTCAATAAATGACCTGTATACTTGCAGAAAAATTATGTGTGGAGTGTTTAAGACTTTATAAATGTAAAATTTGACTATGGATGAACTTAATTGTATATGTATACCCCGCGCTAGTCATGTTAATCTGGAAAAGCTTGAAATCTAAACTAAAGAAGGGTTGACCATTACCTCGATGGTGTAAGAATTTTTCTGGTTCATTCTATCCCCACGATGCTACAATTTGTTCAGCTGTACTTGGAGCTATAAAGGATCTTATTGGCTTCTTTTATAGAGCTAAAACTGTGCAATAAAAAGAAAAACAAAAGGGAAATCAAAGTTCATTCGGAAGTTGCAGGAATTAGGTATTACAAAATTGGTTTCAAAAGCTGTTCAGTTGATAGTTTCCAATTGTTTACAAGTTGATTTTAGCAGTTGTCAGTTTGCTCCAATGGTGCTTGATTGAACGTTCATTCTAGGCAGTGGACCAATTTTGATTGGCACGTGGTCTTAGAAGTAATTAAAGGTCAGAAAGAAAGTGAGCCTATAACCTTTCGTTCTAAGTTATGCTTCAAATTTTCCATTAGATTATTGAGGGTTGGTCGTCAATGTTTTGTGCATCAACAAGACTGGTTCAATGCCCAAGGAAATTGCCTATATTCTACACCGTCTAGTAGTTGGTTTTGACAATTATCAATTCATTGCAAGTGCTCGATTTGGGTACTTGCCGAATTGACGCATCATGGAAAAATGGAAATGGTTGAAAGTGATATGTTTCTAATTCTTTTGGAATCAACTGCAAACAAAAAGGAAAGTGGTCTCATGACTTTTTAAAGAATTGAAGCCACGGGCATTATGATTCTATGCATGAATCAATTTGGTTTAGCAACATTATAAGGCTAGAATGCAAAGTTTAGGCTTTCTAATGGATCAAGTATTCTACAAAATCGTGATTTTAATGGATTTCATTAGCGAAAAGTCTTGTAAATCAAGAGTAATACTTCAAGACTCGTCTTTAGCAATTGTCAAGCAATACCCCACCAAGTCTTAAAGTAGGGGCATTTGTAAGGAAATGTATTTAATTTATTTAGTCAAGATTTTTTTAAATAAATTTATCTTGATTAAATTAAATTAAATTATAAAAGTCCATTATACTTTGGATTGGCAAATTAAGCCAATGTTATATGGGCTATTAAATCAAATTAAATTTGTGATGTCCATTTAGATTGATGTGGATTAATTGATTTATTAGTTCACAATGGATTATTTGGGTTGGCCCACTACTTAAGTTTAAGTTAAATGGATTTCTTGAGTTACAATTGATTTATTTGAGTGCTAGTTTCAGATACCTTATGGAAGGTTTTTGCAATTTTCCCTTAAACAAAATATTGAGGTAAATATACATTGAAATATAGATGTTGGATGAAGGTACAAAGTAATACAAGAAGTTAAAACATAATTATGTAAAACTTTTATATGTCAATAAAGAGGCATCGTATCTAAGCAAAAAGTGTTTCAATTGTATTATGAAAAAGTAATTTGAAGATTTTTTAGTAATATAATCATTTGTGGATTAAACCACATTTGATAAACATAAATAAATGGACAGAATTTAAACTCATTTTCAACTATTTATATCACCTGTTAAGTAAACACTTGCATATTCAAATGTCATAAGACGATATAATGTCACATCTAATTTCATATACTAAATTTTCTTGGTTTTCAATCCAAATTCTCTTATACAATAAGAATTCTTATAACAAGACACAATAAATCATTTGAGAATGCCTCCAAAGTAACACAACTTTTGCCTTCTGACTCTTTTAGATGGTGGCCGCAAGGGTAGATGCTGATTTTTACGTCGACCTTTACAAGTGTCATGCTTATTTCGATCTGCATGTTCTTGTGTTTGATGTTGCAAATCAAACTCCAGATGTGTCTAATCATGCTTATCACTTTGCGCATGTGTCGGATCATATTCACCAGCTTGTGCATGTGTTGTATCACCTTCTGTATGTTCATCCCCTTGACCTTGATCAAGATTGATTTCAGAAGTCCGATCACATCTCTGATTGAACTCATTAGCTGTTTGCTCATCCCCCTCTATGGATTCTTTGTGAACCTTCTTGTGTGGCTCTTCGAACACGTGCCCGTGGAACTACATGTTGCAACTCTTCATCCATTGAGAGCGGCATTATTGGATTCAATGGTAGGAGTGCATGAAGATTGAGTGCGTGAAGTTGTAGGTGCAGGTAATATCAGAGATTCAACATCTTGTGTCAGCAAATTTATGTATGGAGCCATTTCCTTACTGGTGAAGATGTTATTGCCCTCCTGACAATTGAGAACTAATTCTCGTACAATGTATAGATGAATCATAGTATTTGGGTACTTAGCTGCTAAAGAAAATATCAAATCCATTCCCTCTTTGTTCATTATTAGTAATGGGCAAAATTTGAAACCTCACAGTCCATGATCATGATATTTGCAGATGAGCTTCAAATCTGTAGTTCTTTTAGGCTAATTCCTTAGATTATTGGTTGAAAAAAAAAAATTCAGACACTTACGGATCTGACTCGGGAGATGTATAAATCTATGGGTGCCGGGCTGCCCGGCACCTGACACAAAAAAACTGACTTTTTTTTTTAAAAAAAAATCCCCATGGTGCCTCTCAGCCCGGCACCTGACACAAACTTACAAATAAGTTTGTGTTAGGTGCCGGGCTGTCTCAGCCCGGTACCTGACAACTTTTCTTAAAAAAAAAAAAAAAAATACCGGTCAGCAAAATTCACTCTTTCAATTCTTAGCGTACGTGACTCCAACATTTCCATTAGAATTGCTAGGGTTGAAACAAAATTCACCACTTAGGGTTTTTTGGTGAACCCACAGGGGAAAGAACAGCATGGGGCGGCAAGGGAGAAATATGAATGGTTCAAGGCAACTGTTAACATCCACGAGAGTCGAGTAACTTTTTGAAAAGGGGCTCAACTTTTGGACAATGAAAAAATAATACCAATGAAAAAGTATCAAAAGCATTTATTAAGTATTTAGGAGCAATTTTAAAGTGAAATTTTTTAATCTTGATGATCAGGCTGGAGGATGCTACTTTTGATGATTTGGACCTGTTACAAATTGAGCATAAGAAATAGGCATTAATCATAATTAATTTCCTTAGAATATATATCATTTTTCACTTTAGCTTTTAACAACGGCTCCGTTTGGATTAGCTGTTTTTGGATTTGTTTTTCAAAAACACAATTGTAGCATTTTGAATATGAAAAACAAGTCCGTTTGGATTAGTTGTTTTTGGGGTTGTTTTTAAAAAACTATATGAAAAACTTTTACTATAGATTTTTTTGGATTATTTTTAGAGGTATTTTTGAAACATATTTTTTAGTATTTTTAGAATATTATAATTTTTATATTTTTATATAAATATACATTTATGCATTTATAATACATTTATATTTACAAATGTATAGATGTATATTATTATAAATGTATAAATTATAAATGAATATTATATAAATGTATAAATTATAAATTATAAATTATAATTTTTATATTTTTATATAAATATGCATTTATGCATTTATAATACATTTATAGATATTTATAAATAAATATTTATATATTCATATAAAAATATATAAATGTATTATATTATATATAATACAAAATCTAGATATATTTATAAATGTATAAGTGTATATTATTATAAATTATAAATTATAAATGAATATTATAAATATATTATAAATTATAAGTGTATATTATTATAAATGTATGAATTATAAATGAATATTATAAATGTATAAATTGATATATTATAAATATATATTAATATTATGTAGAAATGTATTTATATAATTAATATAAATGTATATATGTATTGATATTATGTATAAATGCAAAATTAATATTATGTATATTAATATAAATGTATAAATGTATTATATTATATATACATAATATAAATGTATATTTAAATGTATAAGTGTATATTATTAAAAATGTATAAATTATAAATGAATATTATATAAATGTATAAATTAATATATTATAAATATATATTAATATTATGTAGAAATGTATTAGTATAATTAATATAAATGTATACATGTATTAATATTATGTATAAATGTAAAAATATTATTATGTATATTAATATAAATGTATAAATGTATTATAAATGTATTGTATTATATTATATATTATACATAATATAAATGTATATTATAAATATACATAAATATTTATATAAAAAGCTAGGTCGACCTGAAGTACTAAATCTTTTAGTCTTTTAAGTTAATTAATTTTCATTTCAAAGTTGAAACGTAAGAAAAAGATGAAAATAGATTTGTGCAAAATCACTAATTACTCTTATAGGATGTTAAACTAAGAAAAGGTTTTTCAAACAAAATATCCCATTCATTTTGTTAGAATTATTATGTAACTTTTAAATGTTCACTATAATTTTATAAATATAAATTTATTGTGCAATATAAAAAGAAAAAAGGACGAAAAAAAGAAAGAAAAATGCATAGTGTGACATGGTGAAATGGTTAAATATAAAAATAACGATAAGCATTGAAATAATAAAAGGCTAAAATAACGCTAAATCCCCATATTATAATATTTGATATTTAACAAACATGTACTGAAAATGATCACATCAACGCCTGGTGCGCCTTTTGCCCTTGCCTTTATCACCTGGTGTTGTGGACGGACAGCAAAATCTTTTGGGTTGTCGTCTGCAACGTTCCCGCAGAACTATTGGCTCATGTTGTGCATCGATTGGAGGGGCAACATCTATGGAAGCATCATCAAGTCCTGCGTCCTCCTCCTCAACCGTGTCTGCAGTCGTACTGCTATCACAATCGTTCTGAGAGCGATACGTGACAAAATCTCCCGAATGACCGTATCCAGTAGCACATACTGGCTGAATCGACGTAGGTACGGTCATAGGCTGTCCAAAACTATAATAATCAGGAAGCTCTGAAATAGGAGATGTACCACCCACTCCACTAAGAAAATTGAATATTGGATGTAGTTCAGAAGAAGAAGATGACACCGCTGCAGTGGTAGTGTCTCCAACTAGAGGCTCGTGCGATGAGGATGGATATTGTCCACCGAAGGCAGGACAATATGAAGAGGGCGTGGGATGTGCACCAAAAGGTGGAAACTGTGGCAAAGGCGTGGCATCTAGACCAATATGCGATGAGTACGGGAAAGATGTCACTTGAGGGCTAAAAGCCGATATATTCTGTGTAGTTGGCATAGCATTGATATCCGGCACCTCGGTGTGTTGAATGGTCTGCTCCCTGATGACTTCGTCTTGCAAGCCATGCCTGTGCCGTCGACTTCTACTAGATGATGGTCCACCTTGTGTAGGGACACGCCGCACACGATTGGGCTGTGGAATTTCTTGCGACACAGGAGGATTATGACCGAAAGAATTAAAATCACCAACAACCATGCGATCAAAACGCTGGAGGTATTGCATTGATCCATATGCTCGATCAACAATGGTTGCATAATGGGAATGAAAGCGACCGTTAGTGTCCTCAAGGTGTAGTGCATCACGCGATTGCTGGCCAACGTGTTGCATAGTACCCATCTGACATATACAAAAAACGGCGACAATCCTTTTTAATCATTGTTGAATAGTAAATTAATTAAATTGGTATATAATAATAACTTACCAAATACTCAAACTGGCCAGAAACTCCATGCAACATTTGCCCATACTGTGCATGCTGCTGGATGGGAGGCGTAATGTACAGAATGGTGTGATTATGATACCACTCGAGATACTTATTGGAAGGCCTGAATGTATCTATGGGCACACCAGGTACCTCTGCAGTTGCACGCGCATTCCAGTATGCTATCCAACCCTTATGAAAATCAGCCCAATTTCTTCCCGGATAACCAGAATGATCCAATTGGTGTAAACCACCCCGATTAGTGTCAACTGGTTCCGGAATTTCCTGCATCATCCCAAATTGACGCATGACACGATCAGGAAAATGAAATTCGACGATGTACCAGAATATAAGAGGGACTCTTGCCCGCCATATGTGCGCTCCCCGTTTGCAGTAATCAGGTAGTCGTGCCAGTATATCATCGGTATACGGCATCCAAATAAACTGATATCATAACAGTTATTTAGATTGTGGATCGGCTCTTTGTGATATTATTATTATAAATAATTTATTTAGATATAAGAGACAAATACCTGATCCATGCGTAATAAGGCTAACTGCTCCCGATAATGTATGTCGGACTGACTAGAAGGGTCAACCCCTGTTCGTTCGGCTGCCCATCTCCCTCCTCTCGGAAAATCCCCAATTTCAGAATATGGGAGTACATCAGGTCGAATCACAGGAATCCGCTCCCACGCCCAAAGTTGTAGTAACAAGTACGGACCTCCAGTTGTTATTGTTCCAACACGAGATGCGTGGCACATTTGTGAATATAAACAGGCCAACGTCGCAGCCCCCCAGCTGTATTGCCTCATGGCATCCAAATCACGGACATAGTCTAACCAATTCAAACTCACGAGATTCTGACATGAATCAGCAAATAACAATCCACCCAATAGAATCAGGATGTACATGCGGGCATACTGACGAACCATAATATCTGAAGCATCTGCAGGCAACGGTGTACTCAACCGTCGGGATATAGAAGTAAGGGTTTAGACGATCGTGGTTGAGCATGTTATCTTCTGGCCAATATCCCAAAATATCATAAATCAACTGCTTCCGCTCCACCAAGTTACGTCTACGGTGCACTAATGTAACCGGCAAACCATCAACCCGAACACCCCACAAAACCTCCACATCCTGCAGAGTTACTGTCGCCTCTCCCATAACTGGGAGGTGAAAAGTATGTGTCTCTTGCCTCCAACGTTCCACAAGTGCATTTATAAGGCCATGATCTACTGTGAGGTAACCGGCTCTGCAAATACCATAAAAGCCTGCGGCATCGATGTATTGAGCAATCCGATCATTCAAATGTATCAAAGGTTGAAAAAACCTCCTATCACAGCGCCGAACATCTAAATCCACACCTGTCCCTTGAAAAATCGCAGCGGACCTATGTTTCGATTGTAAATATAAAACACTCCCATCCAATGGTCCTGGATGGGGGGTGCTGTGGTCGAATGCCATCGCTCCATTTGAAATCCTGTTTTAAGACAAAAATCACATAAAGAAATATATGTGGTACAATTAACAAATCGGCGCGACAAGATAACATATCAAATGCAATTTTATTACAATAAAATGACAGAGTTTTACACCAAATAGGAGTTCATATGGTTTTAGTTCACACCAAAACACTTCTACAACAATAGAGGACAACATTATTTATGAAAGTAACCGGCATACGGACAGTTAGGGGCTGTGTGACCCGGCTGTAAACAGTTACTGCATCGACGTGGTGCATCAGGGCATCTTCTATCCATCTGATTTCTGATCCTAGAATTTCTCAATGGCCCTGGCATCTTTTGTTTCAATCTCCCTCCTATGATATTCAGCTGTAATTCCGCTACAGGCCAATATTTTGGATCCTGTAGCGGTTCAAAATTACCGGTGAATGTAGCTTGATAAGCGGAAAACGTGTGTTCATGAGCGACAAGCGTCAATGGGGAGATGCCACACCTAAACACGCAGCTATGGCATGTGAACATGGGAAGCGCAATTCTCTCCATTTTCCACATGTGCACGTGCGATTTTCAATGTCAACGGTTTGCGCATTACCTCCTTGATGGCTTTGTCGATAGGCAGTCGTGATGCAGTAAATACCCCTCCTATGATCGAACACTTGAACTGCATGGGCCCGCCCTTTTTGTTCATTTTTGACATATTTATCCCAAGATTTCTGTGGGAGGCGGTATACCTCATCCCATGCAACCTTGTGATTCTTCACGAACAAATCAACAGTTTGATTGAATGTGAATCTTATACACGTAGTAATTGGCAGCAACCGAGCGTCCCTCAAGAGATTGTTGAAACACTCGGCCATATTTGTGGATATGTGGCCCCAACGATATCCCCCATCTTTGCACAGAGCCCATTGCTCGGGTCGAACTGATCCACCCGTTAGCCATGCATATGCCTCCGTATTTAGGGAGAAAATCACATTCATGAAGTTCTCATACTTACGTGTCTGCTTCGCCACACCCGCGCCATACATCAAGTTTTTAAGCCTAACAGACATCGTAAAATAACGTCAAAAGGGGATTAATTTACCTATGATGGGTGGAACATGAAAATATATTTAATTTTTAGGGGTTAAGCGACAATTTACCTTTCATTCTTGAATTTTTGTATGAAATTGCTCCGAATATGAATCAAACAGAATCGGTGCACCCCTAATGGCTCCTGCCACTCTTCAAGTGTACGCATTGCATTAATGATGCCATGATGACGATCAGAAATAATGCATATATTCTGCATGTCACCACACACGTGAATGCGTAACAGTCTCATGAACCAATGCCAACTCCGATTATTCTCCTCATCAACTAGAGCATATGCCAGGGGAAACATTGAACCATTAGCATCAAAACCTACGGCGACAAGAAGTTTTCCCCGATAAGGTCCTTTCAAAAAGGTACCATCCACACATATGACCGGTTTCAGATGGCGAAAGCCTTGGATGGCAGGTGCAAATGCCCAAAATATATAATCAAAAATAATATTGGAAGGGGTACTCGATGGATGATGGTCCCACACAACTACCGTACCCGGATTGGACCGTTGTAACTCCTGAATGTAGGTTGGCAACTGTGATATGGATGTCGGCCAATCCCCATATAATATATCAATGGCACGACGTCTAGCATACCAAGCTTTCTTGTAAGACACATCGCAATGAAACTCCTGTTTCACCGATGCTTGAATTTCCTTGATTTTATACACTGGACCATTCATAATGTGGGGAATAATATGTTCGGCAATTATGTCGCTACTCAATCCACGATGGTCATTATTATAACAGACACGGATGCATGTATAAGCATCAGCAAGTGTGACAATCATCCACATGTTGTGCGAGCTACGCAGGGTTGCACGAAGCTGCCAATTACACGGGGGTACAGAGTTACGAGCCCGACAACGAACATACCAAGTTGTTGGCGTGCTCTCACGAACTTTGAACTCCCTATTCTCCTTTATGGACCACAATTTCACAGCTCTCTTGACATGCTCCTTTGTTTCGAACAGTTGACCTAATTCTAAATCTTTGGTGTGTTCATTCCACAGCTTTAACTTCTCAACTCACCCAACATCAAGGGGGTCATAATTCAATGCTGCGTCAACACCAGCTTCATAACGCAGTTGTGGTCCCTCACGAGTTATCCAAGGAGCATTGCGACCCATGTCATCATGGGTCGTACTTGGAAGATTTGAATACCCATCTTGTCGATCGGTATCATGTTGGTGGTTCTCTTCATCGGAACCACTAAGATTGGGCTCCGGTTCGGAGTCCATGTCAACATCTACAAATTGAATGTCAGTAGATGGTAGAGCATCAAACATCGGAGATGATTCAATATCCGTACATCGAGTTTGAAATGATGAGGTGTGCTCTATTGGTTGACCACTTGTACTTGAAGGATCATTATTACTCCGCCGACCATTACCCCTTCTTCGCCCTCTATGCCTTGGTTGAACATCACCTACATCTAATTGGGTCATTTGACTCTCAAAAAAGCCGCCTGACTGGAATAAAGATATGTGTTCTGAACTACTACCACCTCTATCAACATTAGCACTTACAACACCTAAAATTTGAGAATCATCCTCTTATAAATGAAAGACCTCCTCAACCTCCACATATATTTCGGTTGCAAGTCTACTACCAGATTGTAAGTAGTACAGTCCGGCAACTCCATTGTCATGCACCAAAGGCATTGCACCAAACTTGCCATTTGGAAGGCAACTCCGATATATCAAACTAATCTTATAGCGCTTCCGATCTAAACCCAAAAGATTGTATATTTGGTCTACCAAATCATCATAACCTACCATCTCTGGAAGGAACAATACTTGTTTCGGTATAGGGGGATCATATGAAATTGACCCTCCTTCGTATATAATTTTTCCTCCCCAATATACTTGAATCACCAAGCAATTATCACTTGACATGTTATACCTATTAGAGACGAGTGTTGATAGCATTTTAAAACACCATTAATATACTTATTTGAATAATTATTTAATTGAATCAAATATATATAATTTAATAACAAATAATAAATAATTGCGATTCTATAACTGTAACAAATAATAACAAATAACAACAAATAAGGTGTAATTAAATAATAATGAATGATAACAAATAGTATAACAAATAACAACAAATAAAGTGTAATTAAATAATAACGAATAATAACTAATAGTATAACGAATAACAACAAATCAAGTGTAATTAAATAACAACAAATAATATAATAAATAACAGCAAATAAAGCGTAATTAAATAATAACAAATAATAACAAACAGTATAACAAATAACAACAAATAAAGTGTAATTAAATAACAACAAATAACAACAAATAATGCATTATAATTAAATAATTAAATCATTTATAATAAACAAATGAATATTTAATAAATAACAACAGAATCCTAATTCATCACCTTAATTAAATGCATTTCATCGAACCTCTTTAATTTAACTAATTTCACAACTAATTAAACTAATTAATCCAGTAAACTAATTAAAATAATTGTTTACTAAATAACATAAACTAATTATCAACTAACTTAACAAATAAAGTGAATAGCATTAAACTAATATCACTAGCTATGAAATTTTGCTATGCTAATTACATTAATTTTATGTATTTATTTTATTAGCATAGGTATTATTTCAATTACTTAAATTGCCCCGACTAAACGGCTATCTTAATCAAAACTCAATTGCACAAATTCGTTCAATTAATCCATTCAATTAATTAACCTCGCCAAGTACATCTAAATTCATTTAATCGAACCTCTTAAATTTAATTCATTCAATTAATTACACTAATATATCCTATTGGCTAATTAAACTAATCATATACTAAATAACATAAACTAATTCATTTAAATTCATTTAATTGAAATTCATTTAAACTAATTAAACTAATAACATATACTAAATAACATAAACTAATTCATTTAAATTCATTTAAACAAAATTCATTTAAACTAATTAAACTAATAATATATACTAAATAACATAAACTAACCTTGCCGAATACATCTAAATTCACCCCTAATTGAACCTCTTAAACTCAACGAATTCCACAATTAATTAAACTAATTAATCCACTAAACTAATTAAACTAATCATATACTAAATAACATAAACTAATTCATTTAAATTCATTTAATCAAATTCATTTAAACTAATTAAACTAATAACATATACTAAATAGCATAAACTAACCTTGCCGAATACATCTAAATTCACCCCTAATTGAACCTCTTAAATTCAACGAATTCCACAATTAATTAAACTAATTAATCCACTAAACTAATTAAACTAATCACATACTAAATTACATAAACTAATTATCAACTAATTTTCATAATAAAGTAAATTGTATTAAACTAATAACACTAATATCGTTAATTAAGTTATGCTAATTTTATGTATTTTAGTTAAACTAATTTAATTCATTCATTAAATAAATTTAAACAACTAATTAAACTACTTAAACTAATTTTATCACTAAACTAATTCAACTAAGCATGTACCATATTATTAAACTAATATTAGCTAACTTACGTAAAAAGTAAATTACATTATTTGTATACAACTATTCTATAATAAATTAAATATTTATTTAATAAAAAATATTAATAACATAATATAACAACAATATAAAATATTTATCACCAATTGAGTAACATAATATAACAGTTATAACAATTTTTATATAAGACAGATCACTGACCTCTTTCGAACTAGTTGTATTTAAAAAATTGATTGTCTTGTCAGCACCGTTAGTAGTCAGTACGGCGACCTGAACAAAAGCACCGTAATTAATTAGCACGGCGGTATCGTAATTAATTAACACGAACGCCTTAGCAAAAATACATTAACAATAGGCTCACCAATTCTGCCCGCGAACAAAGCTATGGCCAGAGACACCAAGAGGGACAATCCTCGACAAGGCAAATCTGAGACACCAATAGGGAAGGCAAATCGCAAACACAACAAATGTCTTTCGGCTCTGGAGGAACTTTGGCCGAGAAGCTGAGTGAGAAGTGAGAGGGATGATGCAAATAGAATTGGGAGAGCTCAGAAATAAGGAAATGAGAAATGAGGTGCGGGGTGAAGGGTGAAGGGTGAAGTTTGGTTCGTTTATATAGACAGTCGGAGTTCACGACGCTGGAGCAAGCCCACGTGATTGCAGCTTTTGTTTGTCTGTCTGTAGCTAGCCACCACGGGGTGCTAAGCTGAGATAGCTTTTATTTGTTTTTCCGTAGCTAGGCACCACGGGATGCTAAGCTGAGATTCCACCAGCTAAGAAGCACGTAAATACAAAAGCTCTGGCGGGTCTTAGCAATACAATCAGAAGACAGGAAATTGCATGGACGAGGGCGCGTGGCTTTAAAAAGCTGTCTGGTGCACAGCTTTAAAAAAAAAAAGGAGAATCTGTCAGGTGCCGGGCTGACAGAGCCCGGCACCTGATAACTCAATGACACAAAATTCTGTCAGGTGCCGGGCTGCCAATTTTTTTTTTAAAAATTTTTTTTTTAAAATTGGGGTGTCAGCAGCCCGGCACCTGATAACTCAATGACACAAACAGTTCTGTCAGGTGCCGGCTGCCAATTTTTTTTTAAATTTTTTTTTTAAATTGGGGTGTCAGGTGCCATAGATTTATACTCCCACCCTGTCAGATCCGTAGTTGTCCGACAGTTTTTTTTTTTTTACCTATATTCTGATCAATTAGCCTCCAATATATGAGTGTATATTACTTAGTAAGTCTCCAAATCTTATCCTGTGGTTGATTGTAACTATCTTGCCAATTGGGCCTATAAATCTGAAATCAGTATAATATTGGATATGACCATCCCAATATAAAGCAAGTTTCAATGGATGTTGAAGATCCATTAAAACATATGCTAACAAGCCTTCAAATGCAATGTAAACTACAGTGAATTCATCTCAAATGTTGAAAAATACTATAAATAAAAAGTATATTCTAAAACCAATCATATCTTGTAAATGTAGGTAACTCCTAAACTTCTAAATTGCCCACAGGTATTACGTTCTATGCTGTGAAAGAATCTTTCAAAAATAAAAGTCTATAGCAGTCTCTTATTTCTTTTCATTTTGACATAACCACACATTAATTTAGCTTAATATCTATAGTGCCAGCATTCATATTCGCCAACAACCAGTAAAGAATAAGAAAAGATTTCAAGAACCACCTAGCAATAACTGAAAAAGAGTAGACATACATGTATCTAAAGTCTTGAATGTAATATGGCTGCAAATGTGGGATAAGATGTAAGAAAAAATTGAATGTGTGGTGTGTTTTGTTTGGCCCCTGAAGAAGTTAGGGTAGGAAGAGAGGGATTGAGGGGAAATTAGTTTTTAGGTCCCTGATGAAGTTCTTAGTACCGGGGAGTAGAACAGGCTTCTTAGATATGCTAAAAAACTCATTTATCAAATGAGTTTTTTTATTAATAAATGCATTTCAAAAATGGGTTTTAAGGCCAAAAAACGCATTCATCCTATGAGACTTTTTAAAATAACGCATTCTATTAATGCCCTATTTAACCAATTTTTTCTATTTAGATAAATTTATGAAAATTAAAATAATGTATTTGAAAATTGCGTTTTTATTTGGAAAAACACATTCCCTAGATGCGTTTTTTCACCCTTTGGGAAGAAACTCAAAAATCACCACCCTTTGGAAAGTTAGTTTAAAAACTTCCACTTTTTGGGAATTTACTCTTATGTAAGCTTGACCCCAGTTTTGCTTAATTGCAGGTTTGTTCATTTTTTGTCAATCTTTACCTTGGCTCTGTTTTTGTATCAATTTCAACTGATATTTTGTTGATGATGCAGGCTGAAGTAGCTCTTCTACAAAACATGAAAGTTGTAGACTTTTGAGTTTTCTTTCCAATGCCTCCAAAATCACCTAATTTGGAGCTCTGTAGATGGATAAATGACCAAATTACCCTTGATTGGTCAATCCCCTATTTCAACTTTCGACAACAAACATGGTTGATTGTATTTTGATATTTTGACTTGGAAAACTTATGAACTAGATTTTAATGTCTGCATTCAAAATGTAGAGCTGTGTATTAGCTTCAAAATGGCTCAAGAATCAACTCAATCCAATGCTTGTAGCTCAATATATACCAATAGGTGTCAAAGTTGGAAAACTTTTCCTCTTTTATTCTTGATTGCATTTTCTCTTTGCACTTCATATTCTCTTTAAATCACTTTAAAATCATCAACAATTATCAACTTATCTTCTGGACTCACTTAAATTGATGATTGAATCATTAAACCTATAAAAACATGAAATTTTCACCATTTTAAACCATAGAAATGCAATTTTTCACTTAGGCCACAAAATGCATAATTTCACAAGAACTTAGTTCATTAGCTATAAAAATAAATAAAGCATATCAAAATGAAATAATAAAACACATTTAAATTACTCAAAATACATACATATTAGAGGGGCACTAGGTGAAATCTTCAGAAATCTTAGAAGAAGGTTTCCAACATTTTCCCTTTTTATTCACTTTATCCTTCTAATATTGTTTTAATATTTCCCTTTGAAATTGTCATTTTCCAATAGTCTCCCTCTACTTTAAATGCGCTGTTCGTATTTATTCTCATATATCCTCAAAACTGAAAATTCAGTGCAAAAGGTGCCAATTGAGACAAAATCAATATTCCAGAGTAGAAATCTGGCATTATATATATATATATATATATATATATATGTATGTATGTATGTATGTATGTTAGCCTATTTGAAAAGCTGAGAGACCAACATTGCAATTTTCT